CTTATTTAGTGATTTCAGTTTCTTCATAGAGGATCTCCTAATGTTTTGAGCATAAACTTGAATCTGTTTTTCTTTCGCTTGAACTTATGACACTCTTCGCTGGTGTTTATTTTCACTTCAACCAAGGTGGAGTGTCACCAATCTGCCGGTTTTGTCTCCATGTTAGGAGAAGGTAATGGTGATGATGGTCATGATACCAGCTATTTTTACTGTATGGGTAATGCTTTGGCTTCTTCGTATCCAAAATACTTTGGTATTTTTAGCATATCTTCAGTGAGACTGGCATCCTACCATAGCACTGGCATGCTGTAAGAGTGCAGTCAGAGGTGGTAATGACAGCCCTGAAGTTCAATGACATGTTTTGAAAAGCTCATAGGGACGTTAGCTTGCATTCTCTAAAAAGACAAATACCAACTTAAAAAAATAAGTGCAAGATACTAAAAAGAGCATGATTTACTGTCTTATTTCTGTTTAAACAAAGCACAGAAGACAGGGCCATGAATGCTCCTGCTGCTTAACTTAGCTGATAACTATGAACATAATTATTTCCATCACACTGCTCATTTGAATCTAGGTTAACCGTACATGGCTCTTAAAATCCCCTCCTGTTTAATTTTAATTACAGCTTAAAAGGACAAGTAGACCATGCCACTGGGAGCAACGGGCTCAGCACTTCACAGCCAGCCAGGGTAGCAACCATCCTGATGCGACAAATCACATCGCCAGAGCCCAGGAGGCCGATGCCCCCGGAGTCAGAGAGGAACTGATGGTGGCAGTGGCTTCTCAGAGGTCCGTCAACTCTTTGTGAGACGGCACCAAGTTTGGTTGGCCATAGCCAAGCAACAGCAATGCAGGTGTGGTACACCGGGTATAAGATCTCAACGGCGGTGCCTCTTAAAGCAGTTTTGGATTAAGGAGGTTTCTGGCAGGGATGTGCTCTAGAAGGGAGTCAGTGGTCCGAGCCAAACACTTGACTGCTCTTGGAGTCTCTAAAATTTGCTTTTAAAAAGTGCAACCCCAACTGCAAATGGTTCTGGAGACCAGGGAGCAGATGGTGTAGCCGTTTGGGTAATGAACGCCTTCAGCTTTGTCCAGCCTGTTGTCTAGCAACCTCCTCAGGTTTAGAATATCAATGGTTTATTCTTCCATTGGTTTGTCTTCCTAAGAAGATAACCAACTGTATTCTGGAGCCTCTGGGCCTCTGGGGTGCCTCAGCTGGCCAGTTCAAAATAGGGTCTGGGGGTAACAAAGGTATGGATGACCGTAGCGGTGTCTGCGTCTGAGAGAGATCAGTTGTTTGGCAGGCTGGAGATAACGCACAAGGCTATTAGCTGCCTGATAGAGTTTCATGGGACTCTTATCTCAGTCCATTTCGATGTCAGGAAGGCAGACGCTTTCAATAAAAAGAGTGCTCATAGATTTTATTGGGGCATTCAAATGCTTCCAGTTCCCAGCTGTCATCAGCTCCGCTTTAGTCATATAGTTGTCACTTTATCCCCCTGTCTGTGACAGGTCTTGAGAGAAGAAAGATACCGATTTGCTAAGCTTTAATGAAAAGGAGACTCACTCACGTTTCCAGACACTTTTAGTTTTACTCATATGAATGAATCCCACTGAAGTAAAATAAAGTGTATCTTTACACAGTTACATCCTAAATTAATATGTAACTTTTATTTCAGGTACAGGAGCAGGTCTTAGATGCTATGAGGGATGGAATTTTCCAAAATCAGACCAGAGCAGGTCAAAACCAGTCCCTGAGTTTGTACAGAAACGAAAGCCTGCGTACTTAGGAAAGCACAGCTTCTTCACGGTATCGGCTGAGGCAGAGCTGACCTCTGAAGCTGTCAGCAAGGCTGTAAAGGTTATCTGTCAGTCTTTTATTAGGAACTATTTATCTGCGTAATTTCATCATTCAGCTATATCAGTGCCCAAACATTGCCACCTATGCACCAGCTTCTTCACCAGGGATATCCTTCTTATCAATGCATTTTTTTCCCAGCTTAAGTTTGACTTTTTTGCTTGTGCAGTCATTCACAATTCTCATGTCATCAACTCAGAAAAGATTAAGTAATTGGCGAAATCTCAGCCTGTCAATGAAAAAAACTTTTAAAAACGTTTCTCTTTGTACCTTCAGAAGAATACTGCTTTCTATTTGTTTAAAGTCACACTGTTTAACCGGTCCTAAATATTTGCCACTCTCCTAATAAGCAGCCTCTTCAAGTCGCTGCAAGCTCTAGTCCCATCCTCTTGAAGTAGCTTTTACTTTTTGTAGAAGGCCGAGTAAAAGGACTCATGCTCAGCACTGTGTGCTTTGCAGCTCCTGAACAAAACAGGCTGAGCTGAAAACAAAAGCTCAGCTTTGACTCTTACTCCACTGGCTCAAGTTAGTTCCAGCCAGATCCTTAATGTTATTTTATCTGCAGGGTTGGGTTTTTTTTGTGTGATCAATGCCAACTCTGTTGGGCAAATACAGGATGCATAGGGATTTAAAAAAAATCCAACTGCCAAGAAGAAAAAGTGCTTTGTAACCACAGTTTGGAATGGAAACAATTTTCTAAGATATAGATCAAACTGTGTTTATAGACTCAACTATTGGCAGCTTTTCACCGAGCCATTTCCTGTGTGCCTATTGCATAGAGGAATAATCTAAATGCTTAAACTAACATTTAAAACCATACAGAACATGAAGAAAATTCCTGTGTGAAGCAGCACAGAACACACAATGATGTCGAATTTTCTTTTGTTTCCATAGCTAATACTCATGGGAGAAGGCAGTACTGCACACCAAACGTCAGTACTCCCCTTCTTTGCAGGATTTGGTCCTTACCCTGGCTAGTACCTACCTTCTACTAATATTGTTTTAATTTGTAAAAGAAAAGATCCAAGTAACAAAAATTTCCAAAAATGCCACCTAAATAAGAGGAACTTGCTAAAAATTACATACAGTTACTTTAAGTGCAGTAAGTTGCTATTCATCAGGGAACTAACGCAGACAATCTAAGGCGTGGGCAGGCAGGAGGAATCTGATTTCCCATTAGAACAGGTGGGAAATCTGCAGGTATGACAATGACAGTCAAGGTAGGTGTAGGCTGCTTTTGTTTGCTCAGTTTGAAATGGCTGCAACACCTTTTTCTTGCGGAAAAAGCCCAGAGTTCATCTCCTAGCTGTTTTGAATCTTTTCAGTGCTTTTTATTGGGGCAGATCCCCTCTTCCAGACTTCAAATGCATGCCCTTTGCTTTAGGCACACATTTGCTGGTGGCACGGCTGACCTCCTGATAGCATCAGTACGGTCAGTGCAGTCGAGCTGTGGTGCCCATGCAGAATTTTGCCGCTGGTAAATTTTATCACTGGTATTCTGCTCGGCTGGAGTTCATTCCTTCTATCCAAGCCATGTCTCAGCTAGGGAGGACAGTAGCTCCGATACGAGGAAAAGTTTCGAGTCAGGAGAGTAATTTAGGTTGGACGGGACCTCTGGAGGTCCTCTGCTCAGCCCCAACGCAGAGCAGGAGCGGCGTAGGTGAGCTTGCCCAGGGCCAGCCAAGTTCTCAGTGTCTCCAAGATGGGAGTTTCTACAGATTTTCTGGGCAACCTGTTTCAACATCCGACTATGAGATGAACAAAAAAATGCCATCAAATATATTTATACCTTTCTTCTTTGGCTGTATCCTTACAGGTCAGGATCACAGTTCTGGAAGGTGCAGTAAAAGGCTTAGCTTTACATACTGATTCCGGCCTGAAAAATCAAAGTTTTTGTTGGGGATGAAAGCTTAACCACTCAAACAGGTAAGATCGGTTTAGAGGAGGTGGCACCGGGCTTTTCCTTTACTTGGGCCCACAGGTAATGCAGAAAATGTAATTGTGAATTAATCTGCTGGAGGTAGATGCGTTAATTGTGCACAGTGAGTGCACTGTCAGAGAAGTACCGATAGTTTTGTTTTTATGCATTTCTGGCATGCTACTTTGCCCGAGATGCTGTTCCTAACCCAGCCCGTGGGCGCTGTGATGCGGCTGTCTGGGGGGGCCAGGTCTGACCCCCGCCGGGACAGAGGCCAGGCAGACCCCTCGGGACTCGCAGCTCCTCGCCTACACGGCAGTGCGCATCGGATGGTCCCAGCCACTGCCGTCTCGTTTGTCATTTTTCCCAACCAAAAGCATTCTGGAATAGTTTTACATCTTGCTCTGAAACTCGTACACAGATGTTTCCCAATATGTGTATTTAAAGGACTGCAAATGGTTTCAAAAGGCAGGACGGCAAAATGGCATTTCCAGTTGTTGCAACGTGACATATGATTAACTATCATGAACTTTACTTTAGATTAAGAGAAACCGTAACTACTTTGTAATGGTTTTTTTTTACACTGTATATTTGCAGGTATTACTGGGTTACTACTGTTGGTGTTTCACACATAAAGATTCAAAAATTTAATCTAATTTTGTTCTTCAAAAATATTTAGTTTCAAATGACCAAATAATTAAATCCCCCTCAAAATTTGATAAGAGAGGAAATCTGTGAACACGTGCTATGTTCACGAGCTGCAGTTGTTTCCTCCAGAACCGAAGGAGCACCCTCCCGCAGCCCAGTATTCGGGGGTTTGTTACGTACGGAGGCAGCGCTGTGCGTGGCATGCAGAATGCAGGGAAATGCCCGCCTGCTCCCGGCTGCCTTCGGCGGGGAGGTGACATCCAACCCACCCCCGAACGCGATGGCTCCTTTGCTCTCGCCCTCCACGAGACAGGTGTATCGCAGATCAAAGCTGCAAAATGTATTCCTGAAGTTGTCGATGATGAAATGTCGACCCATGTAGATGTTAACCAACGAAAGCTGTCTCAGGATTTTATCTTGGTAAAAAAATCAGTGACATACCTTTTCCCAAGATCGGTTTCGAGGGGCTGTGCGCTTGCTAATGGAACTAACGCGCGACGTAGCTGAGCAACACATACACCAAACCCAAGTTTTTGCCCACTTCAGCAGCCTCAGCACATTATTTGCTCTGTCCTAATGCCGTTTGTCTTCTACCTATGTGGCATTTTGGCTGGAATACCAAAGGCTACTCACAGCGAAGCCAACCTCACCCCCGCTTCGCCGGCGTTACTCTGCCAAGGAGAGTGCAAAGGCTTTTCGGGAGAGCGAGTCGCTGTTCCCCACGCGGCCAGGACTGTGGGGAAACTGTCTAAAAACCTGCCAGGAAGCAAGAACGGCCACATGCACGGCCTAAGCCCAGAGGGGAGAAGTCAGTTTGCAGCCTACAGATGTGTGTGTTTGCAGAAGAAAACCAAAACCAACCACCAACAAACGAAACAAAAAACATCAAGGGAAAAGAAGTATTTAAAATATGCTGTCAACGTCTCAGTCTTCGGCAAGAAATGCTCCGCACATGGCTGACGGAGAAGATGATACTCCCGAGTTGTAGTGAGAAAGGCTCAGAGTACAACCCAGGGTACTGATGGGGAGCCTGTGCCCGAGCGGGACGCACCCCGGGGCCGGGGAGGGGGGGCCGGCCACCCACCTCCGGCAGCCCCAGCCACCCGGGCCACCTCCGGCGGGCACAGGCGCTCC